ACAATCTCCAGGCAGCCACCGGACCACCACGGGACAATCACAAGGCATCTCTGCGACAGTAATGATCGAACCAACAATCGAGACAACCACAGGGCAACAGCGGGACAACCCCAGGGAAACCACGAGAACTTCACGGGACAACCACGGCACAACCACGGAGCAGCCATGGGACAACCACGGAACAATTTCAGCACAACCGCGGAACAACCGCGAAACACGTACAGGACATTTTTGTTGATAGCCCCGGGACCACGGGACATCCACGAAGCAACCATGAACAACCACGGGACAGCCACAGCACAATTGCGGTGCAACCACGGGCCAGCCCGGGACAGACCCGGCACGCCCATGGCAGCTATGTCGGGGCGCTTGCAGGACTACAGCGGGATAACCACGAGCACACCCTGCAGGGCCAGACCGCGACTCCTTTTGGCATGATGCAGGCCTCGGCAGTGCAGGAGCTCGCGCAGCTTCGCCTCGCCCACACGCGCGTCGCACGCGACACGAACCAAAACCGAAACCGAGTCCCCAGTGGGGGGCCCTCCGGGTCACGCGCGCGAGATTGAGGCACATGTTTTGGAATTAACGCGAGCACTGGCCTTTGCGGTCGAGTTTCCAAGCGAATCAGGAACAGGTTCAGCACCCAGATGCATCAGAGCCCTGATTGGCCCTCCGATTGACAAAGGAGGCCTTCCGAAGAGTGCCTTCCAGCTGATGAAGTGGCTGTCCAAGATGATCACACATACAAGAAGCTGTTACGCATGAAGTCCATGCTGGAGTTCTGCGGCTCTCTGGCGCTAGACGGAGGCGGCGGAGCCCCGCGCTTCTGTGGTCTTACCTCCCTGCAGCCCACAGGGTGCCTCCAGCGGCGTCTTGGTGATCTCCTCGTAGGCGTGCACGTACGTCGCCACTTGCTCGTCCTTCAGCATGCCGATCCAGAACTCCGTGTTCTCTCTCTCTCTCTCTTTAGGGCTCCACCGCCGGCCCATGCTGCCGTGTAACACCCGTGGTGGCAGGTCTGAGAATCGCTGCCGTGCTGAGGGCTTGCCCTCCCTGGCATCCTGAGCCTGGGCCCGAGGCAGCCGCAGCCTGACCTCGTCGGGGGGCTCCCCTGGCTTCGGGCCCGCCTCGGCTGCGGATACCTCCCTCCTCTGATCGCTGTCAATGGGAGGCTGCGGCAACCCGGTGTCGTCCTCCTCCACCTCCACCTTCGGTCCGGACGCCGTGGACTCCTGGCCGCCCCCGAAGCCCTACGCCGTCAGCGCCAGCTTCCGCCTTTCGCCATCATCATCGTCTGCCTGGTGCGCCGCCGGGTCCTTCTTTCTTCTGCCTCTTCCGCTGCCGCTGCAGCGATCTGGCGACGGCAGGCTCAGGGGCGCCCCGCGCGCCGCCGTCGCCACGCCGCGATGCTGCTATGACCGGTGTGGCCACGGCAGCCGTGGCGGCTGCGACGGTCTGGCCCTGGGCGCCTGCCTGTGCAGCAGCTCGGACGGTCGCCTCTTTCAGGGAAGCTGCCGTCGCGGCGCCGCCAGCGTCCGTCACCCCGCGCGCGCCGCCAGAGGGGGGTGCCGGCGCGCACACTCGCACGAAGTGTTAAGAGCCCGCAGTTTGGGGTCTCCGTGTCACTCTGGCCTCGCACCCCGGTTCCCGTTGCTGTTCAGGTGGTCTGCCACCAGGGATTTGGACGTGTGCATGCGCGCGCCTGTGTGTGTGTGTGTCTTGGAGGGTGAAAGAGGGGGTCTGCAACAGGGGGTCTTCAATGGGGGCTGAATGGCCCATGTATGCTCAATGTATCGTTCATGTATGTGATCGGGTACGATTGGCATTCAATGCTGGCGGTCATTGATGGCCAGTCATTCGTGCCCGCGCGTTGCCCGCGCGGGCACACGCGCCGTCCATCCATTATCGTTCATGCGTGCGGGCGTTATTGCATATTGCGTGTGGGTCGGCGAAGTGGAGTGCAAGTGTGTCTTGATTGTGCGGTTGATGATCGCTAAGTTCCCAAACGATGACTTCTCGGCCCCCAAGACAGATTTGGAATGGGCCCCGCGATTCTCCCAAAATGTGAATTCACATTTTCCTTTTTTCCCAAAATGTGAATTCACATTATCCTTTTTTCCAAAATGTGAATTCACATTCTGGCCCCTTCAGAAAGAATCCTACACAAAATTCCAAAATGTGAATTCACATTTTCGTTTTTTCCAAAATGTGAATTCACATTTTCCTTTTTCCCAAAATGTGAATTCACATTTCGCTTTTCCCCACAATGTGAATTCACATTTTGCCCTGGCCTTCACATCCCCAAAACCGAGGCGCAGTGTTCCGCATGTCAGATTGGCTGGGCAGATTTCGACACTCACCTGACCGCTTTCGTGCGTTCCAGCCTTTTCTTTTTGCGCCCTTAGCGCACGTTGCCTTCGTCGCCTTTTCCCGAGCCCCCCGCCCCCTTGCTTCCTTTCCCCTCAAGTCTCGCGCGCGGGTGCAGGCGGGGGGTTTCAATTAGTTCCCCCGCCGAACACAGCAATCGAGCATGCATCGCCCATTCATGGCTTTAAAACACATCATTGCCGGGACCCTGCGCCCGACCCCCACTTTCACCCTCCAAGTGTTCGTACGCCACGCCGCGACGCCGCGCGCGTGGCCGCGGCACCAGACAATGTGTGTGTGTGTGTGTGTGCGTGTGTGCGTGTGCGTGTTGGTGTGTGTGTGTGTGTGTGTGTGTGCGTATGTGTGTGTGCGTATCCGCCCGACGGCCCGACAGTGTCTCTGTCCGCCGCAGCCAGCGGATCCAAAGCGACGGCCTCGCTGCGAGGATCGTTGGCCGCCCGCCTCGCCCGCCCTCTGCCGTGCGACAGCCTGCCCCGGCGGCCTCCTGCTGTTCCGCCACCTCGCCTTGCCGTGGCTGGGCCCGCTGGCTGCACGTCCTTCAGGAGAGAGAGAGAGAGAGAAACACACAGACACAACCAATCGTCGACTCCCAGGAAAAGATGGGAAAACATGGGAAGTGTGGGGGAAGACAAAAACCCAGAAATATGGGAAGCTATGGGGGATCCTGTTTTTTGTGTGTACTTGTTTGTGTGTCCCAGGGCCCCTTCCGTCATGGGCTCCCTCGGCGGGCCCGTCTCGTGGGGCCTCCCCGCGCCGCGCACCGCAGGCACCGTCGGGCACGGCGCCCCGTCGGGCGCAGTGCCTGGCTGCTCCTCCGCCCCTCGGCGATCGCGCGCTGTCGGCCGGCGCCGCGCCGTTCGCCGCCCTCCCGTCCGGGTTGCGCCCGTTGGGCGCCGCCGCCCGCTGCCCCGCAGCCGCCCGCCGCCGGCTGCCCGCCGCCGCCTGCGGGGCTCTTCCCGCCGGCGCCCGTCTGGCGCCGCTGCCCGCGGCCTTTCGTCGCTGACCGCTGCCCGTCGCTGCCCCGGGAGGGCCAGCGTCTTGCCCCTTTTCACTTTCCAGCTTGCCTGGCGTTCGTTCGGCGTTGGTTCGCTTCACTTCGCCCGGCGTGAGTTCGCTTCGTCCGTGTGCGGTTTTGAGCCGTCTGGTGTTTGTTGTTGCCCCAGTTGGGTGCGACCGAGAAAAGTGTGTGTGTGTGCGACCGAAGACGATGTATGTGTGCTTTGTTTGTGTGCATATGTGTTGTGTGTGCGTGTGTTCATGTGTGCTGTGCATCTGATGTGAGTGTGTTGTGTGTGTGTGTGTTGTGTGTGTTGGGTTGTGTGTATGTCGTGTGTGTGCTATGTGCTGTGCGTTGTACGTACTGTGTGTTGTGTGCCTTGTGTGCTGCGTGTGCGCGTGTCTTCTCTTCGTGTGGGTGGACGCCCTGTCGCCGCGCGCGGGGCCCCGATGATACAGCGTGTGCTCGTGTGTGTGCGTGTGCGTGTGTGTGTGTGTGTTTGTGCGAGTGCGTGTGCGTGTGTGTGTGTGTGTGTGGGTGTTTGTATGCGTGTGTGTGTGTGAAAGTGTGTGTGTGTGTGTGTGTACGTGCGCGCGTGTGTGTGTGTGTGTGTGTGTGTGCATGTGGGGATTTTCGGCGACAAATACAACATACCCCCAAAATAGTCCAACAATAATACAAAACTAGTCTGGGGACTATTGTTTGAGTATGTTTTGACCTTTCTGGGGTATTTTTGGATTTGCCCCACTATCTTCAAGTCGTAGTCGCAGCGCGTGTGCATCAGGCGTGCGGCTCCCGCGCATGCTGTCCAAACAAGTGTGGGCTCCCCACCACCTGCCCTGCTCCCTCGTCGCCCCAGCTGGTTCTTCTGGCTTCTCCGAGATTCTCCCGTTCCCGATTCCGCAGGGCTGCATTCGCGGCAATCCTTGGCTTCATTTGGTCACATCCCGTTTAGTGGCCCCTTCATCGGGCTCAATAGCCCTCGATCCAAGACTTGAGGCCGCCCCGCATTGTCGCACCTGCCATGCCCGCGCGTTGCCCTGCCCACGCCGCAGCCCTGGATTGCGCTCGGGGGCACGCGAGTTTCGGGTGTGGCCAGGAGGGCCTGGACCAAGGCGACCCCAGCTCTCCCAGGGAGGCGCAGATGGCGTCCAGAGCATCCCTCACGAAGCTCACAGGGCCCTGGAGGCGCCACATCGGGGCGATAAGCTGGGAGCATATTGGGCCAGGACCGCTCCGAGCACTCCACCCGAGAGTCACGCTTCCGCGCGCTGTGTCACAACATATCACAGCATGTCTGCGTGCGTGTCATGTGTTCTGCTGTTTTAAGTTGTTGCACAGGTTTTCGCTCTGAGTCTGGTCTGTGCCGTGAGTTGCTTGGTATTTGAGTGTTGTTGATTCGCTACCGAGGCCACCATCATTCCAACCACCAGTGCCACATTGTTACATTCACCACTACCCCCACCACTACCACGCCACCACCACGAAAAGAGGCAAGCTTTGGAGGAGCTCCCAGCTACGTTGTGTGTTCGAGTGCCGTTTCGCCACGGTCGTTGCAGGAATGAATCCCGTTGTTGCCCTATTTCGCTTTTCGTGATTCCCCTTGTCATGCAAGGCGAGCCCAAAGTTGTGGCTGGCAATGGTGGCAGCGAGAGCGCAGCCGGCGTAGACAAGGCAAAGGCGGAGGCATTGGAGAAGTTGTTGAAGCTGAAGGACATACCAGAGAAGGACAAGCGTATGGCTGGTCCTCAGACGGGCCAGATCTTGCAAAGGTATACGACGGCATGATCGCCGTTGTCTACTGGAGTCGATCAGATTTCCGAGGCGGGAGGTTATCCATAACCAACGCCTGGGAAACCGATCCCCCAGGCGGTGGTCACGGATAAGCAACGCTGGGCAAGGATTGCATTGCCGGCATTTCCACGGAAGGAGTTCACGGGCCAGTATGTCAGAGGCAGCGGTTTGATGCCGTCTGGCGTACTTCCCCAGCGGTAGATTGTGGTAGACCTGACGCAAGTCGGCACGCGCCCGCCGGAGTCATCAATGCCGCATGGGCCTCCACGGTGAGCGCGCTGCTTGTTGTCTGGTGCACCTAAGCTCACTGGGCGCGTTCCACTACTCGTAAAGTGCCTATTCGCAAACGCCCGACGATAACATGTCTCACTCTACGTGATGCATCGTGAGAGCCCCGCGGCGGATCCGGGCCATCTGCGAGTAGCTACTTTGCGAGTAGTGGAACGCGCTTGTCCATGAGCGATCAGACGAGGTTTCGATCGCACAGCGTCGCAGAGCACAGCACGTTCTATAGTAGAGGGGAACGCCGTCCGTCCGTGAAACGATCAGGGGATTCAGCAGCACCTGCGCGGTGCCGAAGCGAGGGCACGATTCTGGAAAGGAGCCGCCCTCAATCCGTGCAGCTGCTGGGGAAGCTCCGCTTTCGGAGCATGCGCATCGGCGATGGCGAAAGCCAGTTTTTGAAACCACCTGCTCTTCGTCCGTGTAGCGTTTGGGAAATTCACACACGGGTGTCACCAATGTGAGAGCTTATGTTCTGAAAAGAGGTCGCTCTTCATCCGTGTAGCCGTCGGAATGTGAAACATTCACGGCAATTAGATGGGAGCCAGTCTCTGAAAACGAGCCGCCTTCAAATAGTGTTGGAAGTTCATACGCGAGCAGCCCAAGAGGGAGAGAAGAGGATCAGGAGAGGAGGAGATGGAAGCGCGAACGACTAATCGTATCGGGCAGGGGCAAGCACAACAACACAACACTCATATCTCTATCAACACTACGGTGCCAGCGAAGGAGGCGAGAGAGAAAGAGAGAGAGAGAGAGAGAGAGTCTTGGTCTGTTCGTCCACGCTCGCCGTAACACCACTTCGGCCCTCGCCTCCGTGATCTCGCCACTCCGCCTTGGGAGCGGCAGAGCCGCCGGGCTGTGCCCCTGCCAGCCCTCCCGGGTCCCGAGCCTCCGACGTGGGCCGCGGGGAGGAGGAGGAGGAGGAGGAGGAGGAGGAGGAGGAGGAGGAGGAGGAGGAGGAGGGGAGGAGGAGGAGGGGAGGAGGAGAGGAGGAGGAGGAGGAGGAGGGAGGAGGAGGAGAGGAGGAGGAGGAGGAGGAGGAGGAGGAGGAGGAGGAGAGAGGAGGAGGCGAGGAGGAGGAGGGAGGAGGGAGGAGGGAGGAGGAGGAGGGAGGAGGAGGAGGGAGGAGGAGGAGGAGGAGGAGGAGGAGGAGGAGGAGGAGGAGGACCCGCCGATTCCTCGGCAGCACGCCTGCGGTCCCTGTGGCAGCGAGCGGAGAGGCGGGAGGCCCGGCGTGGGCGGCGAGGTGGTGTCCCTCTATAAATCCTCCTCCTCCTCCCTCCTCTCCCTCCCTCCTCCCCCTCCTCCTCCCTCCTCCCCCCCCCTCCTCCTCCTCCTCCTCCTCCTCCCCCTCCTCTCCTCCTCCTCCTCCCCTCCTCCTCCTCTTCCTCCGCCTCCTCCCCCCCTCCTCCTCCTCCCCCTCCTCCTCCTCCTCCTCCTCCTCCTCCTCCTCTCAGAGCGTTCCAAAGCGCCCGAGAAGGCCGCGGCGTTCGATGCGTCCCCCAACGCCGCCGAGTCTCAGAGAGAAAGTCTTGATGCGTCCTCATCCGAGTGGACCCTCGTCCCGGCTTCGACTTCCGGAGGGCGAGCGTTCATCGGGCTCAGCGGGTCAGAACGGTCCCGATGATTTTTGTTCTGACAAAGACCAGCCGCACGCGTACCAGCCTGCTTAAAAAGATTGAGGCCAACGACGGAGACGCTATTCGACCCAGCTCCTCGCAACGCGGGAGAGGTCGTCGTCGTCGTCCGAGTCGCTGGCAAAGGGGAGGCCATAAAGTCCTCCCACAAGGCCGAAACAACCTGGGACACAGGAGGAGAGAGATGCTCCTGCCCCGACCACCCCACCCCCACGTCCGACCCACTCCCAACCCCAGAGGTCAGAGGGAGCGAGGGAAGTGGCGGCATGCTCGCAGTCTCTTCGAGCCTCCTCTTCCGCAACAAAATTGGAGGCCCTAGAAACAAACTCGATTTGTTCGGGTGGCAACCCTTCAGCAGGTTCTGAAGGCGGTAGAAACGAGAGTCCCTCATTTGTGTGCCTAGCCTGCGCTGTCTTGTCAGACATTCCACCGAGAGACCCTGGCTGCGTTTTTTTTCAGAGTACGCTCCGCACAGCGAACATAACAAAACTGGCCCCGCCCGATGCAGCGAGTGCATGCCAGCCCTGTCTTGGCACTTGAGCTTGCGCAGGGTAAGTCGGGCCTTCGCCGACCGTAAACACACCATGCAGCGGTAGCGTCGGCCACAAAATGTGACCGCAGGATCAAAACGAGAGTGTGGCCTAGGCGGGCCGTAACCTCCCTTGGTGGTGCCAATGACCCTGCCTAGAGCCTGAGCCTGACCGTCCTGCGGGGTGACATCGCCTATCCTCGCCGCGACACGCGTACAAAACTGGGCGACCATCTGGACCGCACCACGCGAGGCACGGTGCGCATCGCGCAACATCTTCGCATCTTGATGCATTGCAGCACCACGCTTTGCAGACGTGTCGGCCTGAGCGTTGCCGAATCGCTGCCAAGCCGTGATAACTCCATCCGCGATGGATGAAACAGGCGAGTGTGGTTTGACGTGAGTCACCTCCACCGCCTCCACCCCATGGTCCGACACCAACCTCCAAACTTCCCTCCATAAGTAGGCTATGGGGTCGCTAGCGTCCGTGCCAGCTCCTGACCCCTGGCGCCACACATCTACAAGAGGTTTGCAGTCAGTAAAGAATTTCAGCTGAGCTCCCATGTAGCGGAGGGCCATGAGGAAACTGAAAAGCTCCGCTGCGGGCACAGTCTGAAACAACATAGGAAGCGGTCCATGCATTCTCGCAACCTCCTTCCACTGGGAGTCGAGTGAGCACAGCCCCCAACCGCATCTCCTAAGACGACAGAATTGCCCATGCACTCCCGAGCCATCTCCAAACACATGCACGTCGAGCAGCAAATCAGGCGACCGCAAGGTCCACACAACTCGCTCCTCGAGGCAAGGGCTCGGAAAAAACCAGGACGGACCAGGGACAAGAAAACGGGTCCAAAGCAGCGAGCGGTCGGCAGTCGTCTTCGCCAACTCAAGCATCTGACTGGCCAGCTCGAAACCTGCCTTGAAATCCCGACGGTACTCGGAGCGCACAGGGCTATCGTAAAAAACGGTGCCAGGTGGAGCCGACGCTCCTACATGCAAGACGCTCTGGATTAATCGCTCCACCAGCTTCATATAGCCTCTCTCTAGACCAAAAAACCTCCCGCAAAAAGGCACTTGAGGAGCCCTTGATGCTTGCGGGTCCAATCGGGGCCTTAAGCGAGGCGGGAAGGACGATGGACCTCAGAGGCTCGAGGAGAGGAGGATGGGGACAAAGCGAGGCCCATGACGCATGCTTCGCCAGAACCTGCTGCCACATCCAACGCTCGGTAGCCTCATCAGCCAACCGACCCACATCCCTCGGCGACATTTTCTCGATAAACACGGGACCACGGTGGGTCACCCAGCGGAACGGGTCCAAAAACTCCCAACCTAACCGCATCATCGTGCCCACAAGGGCCGAAGCAGGTCCACGAATGCCGGACCAAACCTTATTCTCGGGGAGCGCCGACAGACGAGCCCAAGCCCCGCTCAGAAGACGTGCCATGTCAGATCTCGCCGCCCATCCATCCCACAGAGCACGCATCCAGTAGAATATCGGCCCACGATTGCACTCGTAGGCTGGGTCGATCTGGCGGCCTGCGATCATGAGATCAAGAGACAATGATCTGCCAGTGCGCCTGTGCACGAAGCCAGCTCGTGCGAGCTACCGGGCCCGCAACAGATGAGTGTGACTGATCCCGTGCACTCCGGCACCCCACAGCATACCAGGTTTGAGGCCCGTCTGGGCCAGTTTGATAGTTTGGCCCCCAGCTTTTGCCAGTTGCTTGTACCGGGGGACCCTGGAAGCCATCTTGCCCAATCGCTTAGCACGGACAGCGTGCAGGGCGCGATGGCCACCCCCGAAATCTAATTCCAAGTTACGTACCGATCTTGTCAGGAACTTTGCCGAAGACGGGTCGACTTTGCGAACGACGCTCCGAAGGTTCTGACCGACGACCGTCTGGCGCTTCTTGGGGAGCGATATGTTGAGCCCTATCTGGAGCAGCTCAGAGGCGAGAAGGTTCTCAGCACCCTTAAGATCATGCGCCACTTCCCAAGCACCCCCTACCTTTTGCAGCTGCAAGTCATCGACCACAATCGCGAGATCGACGGGCGCATAACGCTGAACAACGGCATCAGCAGGAGAGAGGAGCACGAGCCGCAGCAGCGAAGTAGCACAACTGCAACCTGCGACGATTGTCCGATTGGTCGAGACCACCTCTGTCGCAATCATTTCGAATCAGACCATCCTGTCCAGGCTGTAGGTGGCCAGGAGGAAACGTAACGTTTTCCCAGGGAACTGATGTCTACGGGCGGCAGCAGCGAGCACATGATGAGGCACATGTTCATATGCTTTGACCAAGTCTAGCAGCTTAGACCCTGCCGCCTTGCCCTGGTCCCGAGCCAACTCCGCCTTGAAACTCTGCTTCCAAACGCAAATATCACATGGCGCCCCAGAGTCGCCAAACCAAAAACTCCGGGGGTGATCGATCTCCCAGGGGCCAGCAACTTTCCAGCGGGCCCATCTGGACCACATCCTGAGAGGAGACGGGAAGATA